CCTCTGTCTCCAGGTGGGTCCGCCCACATGCAGATAAACCCACATGTGAGTACCTGGCGTGATGACATCATCACACCAAACCCATCACATACACCCTGTACAAATACAGGTGTATGTGACAGGGTTGGCGCCATAATGTACTTTGGTGAACCAGTCACACATGTGTAGAGAGCAGCTACTGTGTAGAGAGGAGCTGCTGTGTTGAAAGCAGCTAGTCTGTTAAAAGCAGGTACTGTGTTGAAAGCAGCAGTATTGGAGGTAAAACGACGTTTCATGAATTATAAGTACTGGGTAAATGTAAAGTCATGTACTGTAAAATCAACTACTGCAATAGATACATACCAAGGGAACTTAATGTGGGTGCTGATCGGTCTTTTTATATTCAGCTGTGGTTGAGGTGAATACTTTGATATTCACCTCAATACTGTGTGTAAGGTGAACCTTGTGATAGTAACAGGTTTATAAAAACAACAACACAGAGAATGGTAAATCATAGGAAATGTTAATGAACTGTATTGACTAAAACTATGCCATATATCATCTTTTGTAGATTAAAGCTATTGTTATATATTATTTTTATTAGCAAACCATCCCTTGACAATGGAACATGTAGAGAAAAACTTTAAATAAAGAAGATATAGTGAGGATTTTTTACAGTATGGTTTTACCTCAATAATTACAACAGGAATTGAGAAACCTCGATGTGATATTTGTTGTGAAGTTCTAGCAGCCAAATCTATGAAGCTGAACAAACTAAAATGCCATTTTGGTAGCAAGAAGCCAAGCTTTGCTGGCAAGGATACCAACTATTTTAAAAGCAAAGCTGATGGACTCAAGAAATCCAGACTTGACATTGGTGGCAAGTACCACAAACAAAACATAGCAGCCATTAAAGTTTCATATTTGGTGGCACTCAGAATCGCCAGAGCTATGAGACCTCACACCATTGCTGAGAATTTACTGTTACCAATAGCCAAAGTCATTGTTCGAGGTCGGAGACGAATCTGTTACAAAATTGAGGGCAATTTCCTTAATGACACAGTCCACAGAAGAATAGACGACATGTCTGCTGATATTCTTGATCAGGTAATCCAGGAAACTAAATCTGCTCCATTTCCAATATTTAGCATCAAGCTTGATGAATCTACAGACATTGTAAACTGTTCACAGTGACTGGTTTACTTGAGGTATATTAATGATGGTGACATTAAAGATGAGTTTCTTTTTTGCAAACCTCTTGAAACGACAACTACTGCATATGATGGATTTGACACAGTTGGTTCATTTCTAAAAGAGCATAAGATCTCTCGGGAAAAGGTTTGTGGTGTTTGCACAGATGGTGCTCCAGCTATGCTAGGATGTCAATCTGGATTTCAACATTTGGTACTGAATGAGTCACCAAAAGTCATCGGAACTCACTGTATGATGGAATCATTGGCAAATCTTAGCAACAAAGACGCTGCCACAAGAGTTACAAGAAGCAATAAAAAGCATCATAAGTTCTGTCAATTTGGTAAAGGCGAGCACTTTAAACAGTCAACTGTTTTTGCCACTGTGCAACAAGTTGGATGCACTGAATGATGCTCTGCTATTTCACACTGAAGTGAGATGGTTGTCAAGAGGAAAAGTTTTAAAACGTGTTTTTGAGCTTCATGATGAACTCAACGTTTTTTAATCAGAAGGCAAGACCGCAGTTTGAAGCCCTTTTCAGCGCTAAACGTGAACTGCAGAAAATAGCTTACTTGGTTGACAGCTTTGCCATCTTGAGTGAGTTGAATTTATCACTGCAAAGACCAAATGCAGCATGCTTCAATTTGTCTGAAAAGATCTGATCCTTCCAAATGAAACTTCAGCTTGGCCAAAAAAAATGGATGAAAATAAAATTTATGTGTTGCCTATCTTATCTGCTTTCTTTGAGGAACATGACATTGAACCAAACAAAAGGATTACAATGATAATTTCTGTGAAAGAACACTTGCATATGCTTGCAGACAAAATTTCATCATATTTTTCAAATCTACCTGACACCCCATTTGCACTTGCCAGAAGCCCATTCACAAAATTGAAGATCTTCCTGAGACAGCACAAGAGGAGCTCATTGAACTTATGAACTGTGATGCAGCGAGAACTGATTTCTCTACAATGCCAGTTATAAAATTCTGGATCAAGTGTTTGCAGTCATATCCTGTTCTGTCTGAGACTGTGTTGCGCCTTCTTCTTCCATTTCCAGCAACATATCTTTATGAAACAGGGTTTTCCAGCTTGTTGGTTATCAAGTCTAAATACAGAAGTAGACTTGTTGTGGGAGATGATCTTCATTGTGCTCTTGCAAAGACTTCCCTGAGAATTTCTGATCTGGTGAGAAAGAAGCTATCTCAACCTTTACACTGACGTTGGCTTTTTACGCATACTGTCGCAAAATGTAGCAATGTAGTTTACTGTTACCCATGCTACATCATGCTTCAATACAAAATTTCATTTACTTGGAATTAGAAATAAATATTTCACAATATATAATGACATAATGTTTTTGTGATTAATCACTATGCTTTAATTATTTTCAATTAGTAACAATGAAAATACTTCCTGCATATCAGATATTTACATTATGATACATAACAGTAGCAAAATTCTAGTTATGAAGTATCAATGAAAACAATTTTATGCTTGGTGGTCACCACAACATGAGGAACTGTATTAAAGGGCTGTGGCATTAGGAAGGTTGAGAACCACTGGTTTAAGCCCTTGGTATCAGGTCCTCTTTTTTTCCACTCCCCCTCCCCACCCTCCCACCCTTATGGACCCCTGATAAATTATAAATTATTATTATTTTCATATCTTATACCGCCTGCTGTCTCCTTTTGTCCACATTACTGTTGTTCATCCCCCTGGGGAGGGGGGTGTTATATATCATTTTAGTTGATTCCCCATTTCTCCCCCTTCTCCACCTGCCTTTCCCCAACTCTCTTGGTATCTCCACTCCCACTGCTGTTCCTGAGGGGTTTGTGTGTCCTGGATTCCATGTGCCGAGAGCTCAAATCTGTACTGGTGTACAAGTGTAACTGGAGCATTCTTATGAGCTAATGGGAATATAAAATGGGAGAATATTCACCACTAATACTATGTCTCCATTTTCCCTTAAGTAAAATTGCATTATTATTCATATAAAGTCATTTTATTTATTACCAAGATCCCAAGATCACATACATTTTCTTTAGTTTTCTCCCTAATTATTCCTAGTTTCAGAATATGGGGCATATTTTCCAGAAAACTGGTTGACTGAAGTGTCTCTAAGAATGATCCATAGGGAGAGGAAACATTTTTATAAAACTCAAGGGAAGATTGTGATAAGAATTGCATGAGCCCCCCAACAAAATGATTTATTAAAAAAACCTCAAGGGAATGATTAGAAATTTCAAAAAGAATTTTGGAAATTCATAAGGACTCTTTGAACTGTCCAGAAGCAGAGCTGTCACTTTGAGGGCAATGGTGCACCTGACCCAGCCTTGTCTTCTCAGTTGACTCATATGCACGCGAAAGCCTGACAAACAAATAAGGAAGATGGAGGAGTAATTGGTGACTTTGAATTATGGTGTTGGTGAAGAATATTCAGTATATCGCAAGAATAGCAAACAAATATGTCTTGGTAATAGTACATCCAAAGGGCTTTTCAGAAAGGATAATGGCAAGATTTTATCTTACATCATAGACATGTTATTAGAAGGGACCGTGCCTGGAGAAGGACATCATGTTTGGTAAAGTCGAGAGAATCGGCAAAAAAAAAAAAAGAGTAAGATTCTTGAACAAATGTATTGACACAGTGGCTGTACAATGGGGTCAAACAGTAATTCTAAGGCCGGCACAGCACTAGAAAGTGCTTCCTTCCATTGTACAAGGGTCCCTCTGAATCAAAGCCACCTCTAGGGCCTCTAATAACATCATCTTTACACTGTAAAGAGTTTACTGTCTTACTATTGAGTATCAGGCCATATTAGATAAATCAATAATTTACTTTTGTTGAACTTTTAATATAATTTCCAATTTATAGTATATTTGCCATAATAATTCAAGGACTTCTCTGTTACTCCTTGCTTAGATCCTTTTATTGATTCAATGTCATGCCCTTGATGTTTGCAGAGTACACCTTCAGGCTTGATGTGGAAGAAGGAGTGGGGATCCCCAAAATCCCTGTACATCCCATTGGCTATGATGATGCGGAGAAAATACTACGGTAGTTTCCTACTTAGATATATGGACATTGTTTGCCCTAAGGTGTCTATTTTCTGATATAAAATCAATATAATGTAATTAAAGTCATATCAAAATAACATCTGAAGTGGGAATGAACATAGATCATCCACTTTTTCTTTTGTAAGAGAAAAAAGTGAGTTTAGTGGATCAGAAATAATAAAGCATTATTCTACCTGCTGCAGATAAATATTTCAAATGCAGCAATATGGCCAAAGATTTGGGATTTTTCAAGTAGTTATTATTTCCTTCAATAGCCATTTGATGTGTATACTTTGCCTCCATTTTTAAAATATGAAAGCGTTCATGTCTAAGACAGTCAGTCATATGGGTCTGTACTGTCCCATACAGTATTTTGGGCTACATGTGGCTGTTCAGCACTTCAAATATGACTAAACTGACGTTAGATGTGCTGAAGTGTAGAGAGAGACAGATGAGTCTTTCTGCTTCCAGAAAGTGTGGCATTGACTTGGTGGCAGTGTCAGTGAGATTGTTTGATTCTTTATTTTGATGAGTTTAAAATCACATAGGTTTTTGAAGACTTAATATTCAAAATAAGGAAAATGTCTCATGAATATTTTCTATTAATTGTTAACACATTATTTTTGGGCGAGTGAATGAAATATACCTTTAAAATTAATTCACCAATTTCTTTTACCTTTTTAACAAGGGAACTAAGAAAAGCAGCTCATATTAACTTTCTAGAACTGAATTAATGTAAATACTATCAACATATAAATTTTAACCTCTCCAGTGAGGCTCATATGGATGTGATAGGGAAGCAAACTATCAAATCAACCCGGAATCAAGGTCTTCCTTAATCTGACTAATTACTAGGAAAAGAGAAGATAAATTAATGAGGAATATATAACAATAAAGATGATCTTAAAATCATGATCTTAAAAATAAATAATCATGATCTTGGGACCTCTCAAATATTGAATTTGTGAATGATTCCACTTAGAAACTATGAAATAAATTACAGTAAATTTCAGAATATTATAGAATACATAAATGTTAATAATATTTGGAAATTATAAGCTACCTTTTCAATTTAATCATTTCTAGTATGTAGCCTATTTGGATTTAATTTTTTAGAGTATGTTATTGTTTATAATGAAGGCTATTTTCTTATGTGTTTGAGTACCTCATTTATAAAAATACAACCCAGCTATTTCACATATTTTTCAGTCTTAAACTGCTTTCTAATAAATGTGAAAAAATTAATAAGTGATTTTTATAAATTGAGGTGAGACCATCACTCAACTTGTAATTAGTAAATCCAGAAGCAAACTTATTGCTAGGGAATTGATGCTGACTCATCAGAGTGACCTTAAATAAGGTTTCCAAGCCATAGATTTTTATGGGGGTGGATTGCCTCATCTTTCTCCTGAAGAACAAAGCGATGGGTTTGAACCGACAAACTTGAGTTAGCCGTACAACAGTTACCTTTAAGCCACCAGGAACCCTTGTAAGTAATGAAAGTAACTCCCATCTTAGCATTCCAGGTCCAGCTATAGTGCTTTGTTGAATGGTTAAACATAGAAAACCCTCACTGCCAGTAAGTCAGTTATGACACCTATCGGAAGGCTTAATTGCCCCTGTGGGTTTCCGGGATTGTCACTCTATAGGAATAGAACAACTGTGCTTTTCAACTGCTGACTTGGAGGTTAGCAGACCAGCGCATAACCCACTATGCTACAGGGCTTCTCTGTTGCATGGTTACGGCTTTTAAAGTTTTAAATCTTTAAATATATAATTATGTGGATTGTATTTATAATAAACATATCCAATAATTTGGATAACTCAATATAGTTCATAGGTATGTAAATACCAATATAAACATTTTGGCACCTTGAAGAAAAACATGCATCACAAATGATTGCTAAATAGTTTATCAGAACTCTATTTTTCCTCCTCCTAAGCCTCTATGAGAAGTCCTGGTGGTGATGGCAGGTAAGCATTGGACTGCGAGCCACAAGGTTAGCCTTTCAAACCCAACATTGGCTCTATGGGAGAAAAATGAGGCTATTGGGGCCCCCTTAATATTTATAGCTTCAGCATTTCTGGGTAGGGTCACTATGAGTTGGAATGGGCTAGAAGGCAGTGAGTTTTGGAAGATTCTCTTTGGCACACAGAAGCTTGAAGTCTCATTTTGGATTGTAGGTATACATTTTTAGTTGTGTGTGGGAGTGGTGGTTCTTTAATAGACAGTAGTATATAGAAGTCATTGTAAAAGGGATTTTGTATTTTGGTTTGAATTCTCAATCAGTTATTAGTTTTATAACTTTGGGCCAGTTCCTTAACCTTTCTCTGATTCAGGTCTCTTATCTGTAAAATGAGGACAATGATCATTTCTAAGTGGTAGCTGTATTATGAAAATTAGATGGGACACTATATCTCGATGATAGAACGTGGCCATTGAGGTACTCTATATAACTATTCACTTATATATCTCTACACTTCTTTTGTCAGTTAAATGAATGTGACAATGCAACTTAATAATGACTTTTTGAAGCCTTATTCTGTGATTAGTAGCTTTTTCAGGAATTAATTTTGTCTCCTTAATCCAATCACTCATTTACTATTTTCAGAATTTCCTAAACTCTGTATTTCATCATGTAAACAGTTAAGGTAAAGAAAGAAGGCTGGTGATTTTCCTTCTCCCTTTTATTGTTCTGCTTACTGTATATCGTTCACAGAACTTTTTACTTACTTCAACTATGGATTTGTCGCTAGAATGTAAGTATAAGGGACAAAGTTTTAATGGTGCCTAGAACTTAGTAAATTCTCAGTAAATATTAGTTAGGTGCATGAATGAAATATTTCGTTATCTGTTTTCACGGCATCTTCTCGGAAATTGTGACTCTCAGCCTTATTCTGTCATTGTCATGTACCGACAGTTACATGGGAGGACGGGCTCCACCAGAGGACAGCTGGAAGGGAAGCCTTAATGTGAATTACAATATTGGGCCTGGCTTTAGAGGGAATGATTCATTCAGGTAATTTTGCCCTATGTTAGTAGTCTAGAAAAGTTATATATATTTTGCCTGTCTTCTTTTTCTCAGTTTCCACTAGTGGGCAATTGATCACTTTCACTATTTAAGAAGTACTCACAGAGCAATGTATTCTTCTTCCAATCATGGTATCACATGATCTTTTTCATAGCATCTTACAAAAAACATTTCAATTGTACTTTTAATCTTTTATGCATTGCTTTTTAAAAAAACTGTCCCTTTTAGCTCAAGTTTAAAAATCAGCTTTCAAATTCATTTAAAAATGCTCTATCTGTAAAATATTGTATGTTATAAAGGATGGAAGTATAAAAATGAAGAAAATAATCTAATAATATGTGTTTTTGCATTTTGTGTTAGCTGAGAAGCAAAACCAGTGACCTATATACATACATCCTATTATGTACGTGTATAGAAATACAGGAAAATTTTTATCCATACGATGGCTCACATAGTTGTAGAAGGAGGCAAATCCAAGCCAGTCCCAAATCTGAGCGTCCGATACTAAGCTGGAGGCTTCTTCTGACTCACGCAGCTTTGGGAGCTGATGAGCAGAAGATTGTCAAGAGTGCCGCAGACTGCGAAGGCACAGCCTGGAGTGGTGAATGGAGCCAATGTCAGCAGGTCAGGCAGCATATGTTGCCTGGCAGGCAATAAGGCATGTCACTGGCTCAAGTCCAAAGAGCCAGAGGTAAACAAGCCAGGTACAGGATGCAGATCCAACAAAAAACAAGCATGTGTTCCTACTGCATCCACTTATATAGGAAGTAGACTACCCTCCTGAAGAAACTTCCTTCCAATTGCATCAGGGATATAACCTGAGTAAGGGGGTTGTACTTCACTTTACTTTTCTTAAAATTGCTAACCTACTCAGAGAAATCCCATTTCGGAGTTGATTTCATTGTGTTAGGTAACATCATAGGATGTTAGTAGGCCTCAACTGTGAAACCACAGAGGAACTAGCCAAGTCGATATAAAACTTACCACACACTAAAAAGGAGACTGATGACAGTACAGGTGTCCATCGAATTTCATCTTAAGAGAGAAGAAAAGTTTTCCATTGGGTCAAGGCCAACAGGAAAAGCCAGCTATTTTGATTACCTTGTTTAGAAGTGTGAAACAACAGGGGCGATCCGAACTTTATTTTTTGGAATAAATTTTTTATTGTGAATTAGATGGGGGTGTGTGTTTACATTTCAGATTCATCAGCTCTGCATTCACAGTTTAAACCATTCATAAATACCCTCCACCTCACCCTACTTTATACTATCTTAAGATGATCAGATCTTTAAGAAATCTAGCAAGCCTGAAATGTTAAAGATGGAGGAATTGTAATACTGATACATCAAAAAAATATATAGCTCTTTGATTAAAGCAAAATTATTTAATCAGTGTTTTTGATATGGAAATGATTTACCTTAATTATATGAATATGTATTCTTAGAGTTTCTGTACGTTTTTTTTTCATTTTAGCAAATTTGATTATTAGAAGTTTATCATAGAGGAATTTGAGGAATATTTTACTAATATCTGAATTAATTGTTAATGTCAGAGATGAAGAATTTGAAGATTTTCATCAACTTGTAGGTCTGAAGTTGATTAAACATGCACCCAAGTAACTAAAGTAAATGACAATGAGGGGTGATAGGAATCCAAAGTTCAAAATGAAAGAAGGATAAGTAGTTGAAAAATGTGGTCTTGGTGATAAAAATGATGCTGAGATCTTACGATAGAATTTTGCAAGACCAAAGAGACGCTTCTTCCCAACAACATAAATGGTTACTATACACATGGACCTCACTGGATGCAATACACAGGAATCAAGTTAACTATATCTGTGAAAAGAAATTATGTAGAACTTGAATACATCAGTCAGAGCAAGGCCAAGGGCCAACTGTGGAGTAGGTCATCAATTGCTCATTTGAAAATTCAAATTGAAGCTTGTGGTAGTTACATA